TCTTGCAAAGGGAGAACTGCATCAGCTCAAGAACTGCCTCAGCTTGCCTTCCAGTTTTGCTGCTGTGCTGTACGGTGTCACCACGTAAAGGTGGCACCTAGAGTTGTGTGGCTAGGAAAAAATATCCTTGCTCTCAAATACAGGATGGAGAGATGGGATCCAATCTAAGAGATGGGATCTGAGAATTCCATAGGCATTCAAAATTCAAGCTTTTTATTCTGTTCCAACTACCAGAGCTTGTAACAGGGAGAAGGTTTTGACCTGTTAGCTTTGTTGTAACTTTTTTTTTTGCAAGAATTATGATAAAATCAGTTTTCATTTTCCACTTCCGCTTACCTGCTTTATTCTAAGATCAACAATGCAAAGTTATGACATAAATTGAATGGAAAAAGAGTGCTTTTCTGTAGAAGAACAGCACAAATCGTTTGCTACTTAATCATGTTTAATTGAACGCATGATCGAATAATGATAATTCAATCTTATAATTGCATTATATTTTTGAATGGCCTCTTCAGAATGTCGTACACATACGAATGTTAATTTTGTGATGTAAAACTGAGTGAAGATTTTTAAAGAGGTAAGGATTTTGGAAGTTGCACAAGGAAGATCAAGAGGTACCCAGCCAAAGATCAGTGGTAGCAGTCAGTAAATTGCATCCGTGATACTTCAGATATTCAGCTGAGGGCCTGATTTCTGAGTATGTGTTCAATGACAGAGTAGGCTTTTGACCTTTTCTCAAATAATTTCATGTTAGAAACTTCTTATTACAAGTAGTCTGGTCTTCTCTCAGCATTTAATCAACTACTTCACACAGTTACAGACAAAATGGACTCAAAATCATAGAGAGACTCAGGATAATTTTTCCAAAAGCACTAAACAAAGTGCAATTATAGTTTTGCTATTGCATACAATAAATTACTTTAGAGGATGATAAAATGAGAATTGCATTTAAAATGCTTGAGCAAAGTTCAGGAATTATTTTCCTAGTTCAGTGGTTTATAAATAATAATTATCAACAGAAGACTGAAAGTTGCACTGCAGAGCAATTTTGTTTTCTGTAATTATTGTTATGAGTAATATCGATTATATAGATGGCTCCTGAAATTCAGGTAGAAATTTTAATTGCTGTTATAAATAACTTAAATAGTAAATATTGTAAGTAACCAGACATACATAGCTTAGCTTGTCCTCCAAGCAGAACTTTGGAGAAGTTGAATCTGTAATTCTAAGGCAATTGTTTGAGTGATCAATTTTGGTATTATATAATTAGAAGCATGCAAAGCATTTTAATTTCTTTAAGAATTGTTGTCAGCAATTCGTTTAGTAAGAGAAGACCTACAGAAAACATATGCCATTCTTATTACCCAGAATCCAATAAAGATAGCTTTTTTTTTCAAATCATTACCATATGTGAGTAGGAGTTGCTTTGTACTGTAAAGTTATTTTAGATACCAGAATAATTTGTTTCATAGTTTGAGTTCCTCACTGTTAAAACGTCCCCTTAGATTTGCTATCACTTTGACTATTGTGTGATATATAGTTTAAAAAGAGAAAAAAAGAAAAAAAGGAAAAAAGTTTATAATAAAAGAAATTTAACAAGTAATTGAAATTCCAGATCACGTGTAGAATGTGCCAAATAAATAATGGCATTTGCAGGCATATTGCATGAGTGCAGTAGCTGTGGGGAAACTACTATAAAACTGTTAAATACACTCCCCCTCCCTTTGCCATCTTTAACCACTGTTATAAAGCCTTGAGAAAATAAAGCAATTTTGACTGGCTGACAAACACTCCAGCAGAGAAATTAACGTATTATAAATCATATGTTACAGCTGGTTAGCCATATTTCTCTTATTGTTTCTATTGATGGACAAATTCATGAAGAACATTAACAAGGAGTGATTTGTGAAGAAAGCTTCTTACAGTATTTGTATGTCTTATATTGAACGATCTCTTTTTAGGACCCATCAGAACAGTAATTGAAGCTAAGGAAAATAAGCATTTTTAATGCTGCTTTCTTAAAACAGTGATTTTTGTCTCTGAGCTATTGCAAAGTTAAAGGGCATCATGGCTAACAGCAAAGTTGGTCAAAGTGTTTATTTTAGGGTGGAGTTTTTGAATGTGCATTCTGTAACAGCTTCTTTTTGCTGACATAAACTTCAAGTCATTAAGGAAAAATGTATTTGTACAGGAAAATCACCGAATTGATTTGAGCTGGTTTTATTTGATAGACTGATCATCTGCAGATGACTGCCAATTAAGAAGATACATAGGAAGGACTGTATTTACCAACTGTTTTTGAGTATGTTGTACTTTGCTAATATGTCATCAAAGATTTATTTCTAACAGTGTAGCTGTATTGCTTCATGCCCTTTGATGCACATTCAGTTGTCCTCATGGAGCTTTTCTTCTTTCTTAATGGATTCAGAGCCTCAGGAAACACATTTTAAAATTTTGTTGTTGCGTTCAGGTGTCAGAGTTCTCTTTCTTCACTTATGACTGAGCTCATACTGAGCTATTTGAGTAATTATTGCAAGAATTTTAGACGCTATTTGTTGTAACTAAATAAATTATGAGATAGTGTATTTTGTAGCATGGTAACTTCAGCTACCCTCATCTTCTTCAACAGTACTCCTCCTTAAAGACTTCTCATCATCAGTATGGCAAAGTTCTTTGCAAATGCTTGGCAGGCATTAGTCTAAATCATGCCCTGTCCCTAGAGGAGTTCAAGTTCAATGGGGCCCTGGGTAACCTGTCTGGTATTAAATGTGGAGGTTGGTGGCCCTGCATGTGGCAGGGGGGTTGGAGATTCATGATCCTTGAGGTCCCTTCCAACCCTGGCCATTCTGTGATTTGCATACCATACCTTACAAAGACTGAGATCCGAGTGTTTACAATAGCCTGTCTCCTTGCACTGTTTGTATGAAGAGCTTGGGGTTAGCCCAGTGTGTTTGTTCCATGTGCCATCACAGGATTCTAAAGATGTAGCCTAGATATACATTGTACAGAGCCTTTTGGGCTTAAGAAAACTGGAATGAACAGAGCCCTATCTGATCAGCTCTGCTCATACATCCAGTAACAGACTCACTCTTGAGCAAGGGAGCCAACTACGGTGTGCAGCAAATGTTCAACCAGAGAGACCAGGACTGAATACTTAGTTCCACTTCCTTTCACTCTGGATAGAGAATTTTCAGTTTGTCAGAAATAATTTTGCAAACTCCAAAGACTGCAAGTCACAAACGGGTCATCACACTTGCAGGACAGCTGCTAACACAGGTATTAGATATGTAAGTTAAAAAAAAAATCAATATTTGTTAGGGTAGACTATGTGATAAGGGACGTGATGTGTTTTAAGTCTCTACTATGTGTATCCTGTTTCAGAAGACACTTTAGTTTTAATGATGCATATGCAGAAAAAGACAAATTAAAGGAGGATAAAAAAACAAAAACCAAAAATCCCTCAATTTCCAGAATTTCATATCTGTTTAGTGCTTACTCCAGTTGAGCTCTTAGGTCTGTATGTAGGTTCATTGTACATCAGTTAGAGTGATTTTGGCTACAGTGAAGTTATTTCCAGAATATTTGATCAGAATCCTGAAGCCAACACTTGGATACTGGCCTTAGCATTCTGTAAAGGAGCATTTTGGAATGTCCAATTAAAATGATCAGTTGACAAAATTAAGCAGCACCACCTGATTTGACTTCATAATTTCTTCACTCTGGAAAACTTGGGAATGAGATTCCCTATTTGTTGTACTGGTTGTTGTACTTGTTCAAGACACCACAGAAAATCAGATTGAATTTCATTATTATTATTATTATTTTTAAAATACCTGTTTTTTAATGAGGGTTTTACTAGAGGTAATGCTTGAATGATGTAAATGTATAATGGCTAAAATCCTTTTTGTTATTTCTCCACAAACTATGGCCAGGACATTTATATAAGAAATGTTTTGTATACATCTAATTAGTGAGATAATGCATTAGGCTTTCTTGTCAAAATTAAGTTCCCTAAGAACTAAATGATTTAATATATATTTGCTTTATATAAGGACAATTGTACTTGGAACAGAAGCAGTGTCTGCTACAACTATGGAAGGTAATAAATATGGAATAAGAGCATATTATGGGTGTGAATATGATACTGTCCTGTGATTATGAAAATAAATATAAACTTCTATTTTACTTGAGTGCCTTACAAATAAAATGAAAGTTAACTTTCTCCTATTTTTTTGCTGTTAATATCCTTACTAGTTTATTACTGTTTAGTTCCTCTTGTTTTTGAATATCCTTCAAGCTGAGCAAAATGTTTGCAGTAGTCTCATTTATCCCATGATTTTCTAAATACTTTTTCAAATGTTTTATGTGCATCATATCTGATCAGATAAAAAATGAGTGGGATTTTGGAGATTGAAGTAGTGCTCGCTGGAGAGAAAATAGACTAGGGTGTAGCTAATAAAATAACCATGAATGCATAAGGGGTGCTTCTGATATCATCAGAATCCTTACTGCTGTCTTCAATGTGAATATTTTTTGTCAACCAGTGGTTTGCTCTAAATGCATCTTTCTTTTCCCTTAATTGCTTTCTCATTTAGGTAATTCCTCCTCCTGCATACCAACCTGAATATCCATCCTTAGAAATAAAAACTAAAAAATGAGTAACAATTTGGTGGAAAAAAAAGATTACAACTGTACTGCGTATTTAGCTTGTTTGTTCTGGTCCTTTCCTTTGCTTTTTTAAACAGATTCTGAAATATCTGGAGGATACTTAAGTAATCTTCTATCACAGAGTGGTCCTTAAGTGTGATTGCAATAAAATAATTAATGAACACATCTCAATTGAAGAATAAATGTTGTTTTCTCTTGATCAAATAACTTAATAAAACCAGGAAGTCTTATTACATTTGTACATAGACCTGTAGGATAAGCATAAATTCAATGTTGTAATTACTCCAATGGTTCTTTACAGTTTCTTAATGAGTTTTTTTTTTTTTAAACAGAGGTCTGAAGGGTGTCATAATTACTCTGAGTGACAGTGGGCATCTGCAGTGTTCCTACCTTGGTACTGATCCTTCGCTCTTCCAGGCTCCTAGGGTTGATTCTAAGGAAATAAACTATGAAGAATTCAATGCTGAAATGAAGGAGCTTCAGAAAATCATCAAGGAAGCCACAAAAACACAAGGTATAATTCTCACAAATATTTAGTTGTACTTAGTTAAACTAACCGGTTTTCATTTGGTTGGTTAACAAGTTATTTTTCTTTCTGTTTTCATAATGCCTATTGGAACTTACAAGATTTATGTGCCCAAATGCACATAATTATCACTTTTGCAAAGATTTAGAGGAAAAAACCAGACAATGCATATTCTACCTCAAGGCAAGAAAATCTTAGAAATTTCACCGCAACAGTCTGGTATACCTCTCAGGCTTTAGAAAGAACAGAAGTATTGATACATTCTGTTTTATTTCAATTTTTTTCTTAAACATTATGCAATTAATAAAGAATGACTTGTGTTACGAATAATTTTTATGACTCTTTCAAAAGTGATTGTATTTGAAGAATATAGTGAAGGATATCAAAAGCGTAATAATGATCAAAATAAACACTGTAACTTACACATTGCATACACAAGGCACTGGAACAGACTCACCCTGTTGTAGTTATCACAACATCAAGCCTGCTGGACTTCAAGAAGCATTTGGACAGTTCTCTTGGCCTTAGGTTATAGATTTGGGGTGATCCTGTTTGGAGCCAGCAGTTAGACTCAGTTTTCCTTTCAACTCAGGATATTCTGTGATTCTAATAATTTGTATTGAGTTTGTTCAAATAACGACATGTAATTTTCTACAAATATCCTTTAAATTTTATAACTGAGGCATTTAAACAGAGGATCTGACTTGTGTGGGGAATTGGAAGCGTGCAATTTTACAGGAAATTATGGAAAAAAGTTCTTAGACAAATAGAACCACTTAAAATCTTTCTGTTGATAACGTTCCTAATATGCATTCAAGAAATAGTTGCTGATTTCTTTGTTGAAAATTGCTAGAAAATGAGATTCATAAGCTGAAGTCTTGAGCTTGATTCTACAACGCAAAGATTTTTTTATGTAATTGCATATAACTTTGTTTATTATTGTCACAATAGGCCAATATTATTGTTTTGTTTTCTTTTTTATTTTTAATTTAACAGACCCTGTTATTTAAACATGAATGTGCATAATATTTCACTGCTTTTGCCACGACCCTTCCAATAAATATTTGACAGTTTCGTTTATTGTAAGACTGTTTCATCTGACTGTTATAACCAAAGGAAAGACAAGCATGACGAAAACATCTGTTTGTGAAGTGAATAAACTTTTGTTTATTTGTCTTAAAAAATTATGCAGAGAAATAAAAAAACAACTGTCCTGTATAACTTTCTGTAGCAATAGTATTAGTATGAAATTGACTTGTTTCCTATGAATTTTGCTGACCTTTTACTTTTCCGATTAAACGCTCTTAATTTCTTTTTCTTCATCAAGGCCTTTCTAGTCTGATTTAAGCTATAAGGTATTTTAGGAATCCTCTCTTGATTGTGGAGATGCACTGTAAGGAGATTTTGCTTTGATTTAACTGGCTGTAAAATCTGTTAGAAAGCCTTTGCTACAAGGAAAACTTTTCACTTAATTATGAAGAATGCTTTCCGTTTAGAATGATTTTGCTTTGTCTTCTTTTGACTACTTTAGATCTTTAGCTGTCTTAAAATAACTGTTAATCATGTTTAGTTGAATACAGAATACCTTTGAGCACTGCTCACCATTCAGTTCCTCTAAATGTGATCTTTAAAATGAGTGATTGATTCTTCTGTCTTGTGGATTCACATGTGTGCAAGTAAGAGCTGGTGTTGTTTTGAAAAACATCTACCCTTACATGGAAATATTTTTTCTTTGTTTCATTTTGACTTCCAAAAATGGAAGTCATTTGGAATTAGGTCATCATATAAAAAACGTAGAGCAGCTATTTCCATAAATAAATCGTGTATTTCTGTTCAGTGCTGACCATTAAACTGTTGAACTTCAGTTATTTTATACGTTTTGGAGGAGGTTTTACATTACAAACTGAAGAAAAATTTAAAAACCTCTCTTTTCCTTAACTGTTAGGCTAACGTAAATCTAATGATATTTACATCAGCTTAGTTGACTTAAGTGATTAACCATAGATGTTCGACTCAGTTTAGCAGTAAGAAATAGATGAAGCTTTGACGTAGACTTTGTTTTTGTCGTCTGTCTTATTTCGAACAGAAAGATGACAATATGATAGAAATTGCATCAGACTTTGCTGAAGGTGAAATGGTAAAATAGGGTTAGAAAAGGAAGATCTCGACTCTCATCCAAACAAGTAAAAGGGATTTTTTCTGTGTCGTGTGCAATTGGCAGAACCAGTTGTGTGAGATTGGTATTGCTAGCAGGTGATGTTGGAGGAATGTGCTTTGATTTTACTTTTCTTATTCCTTGTAGTAAAAGGAAACATGGAGCAGAATGAAAACTTAATTTCCCTAGTTTTCTCAATAGAGTTTTTTCCCTTGACTCTCCTGTTAGAAAGAGACATAAGATGCTATTATGACCCACTAGTTGTGGGTCATTTTTGGGATCCTACTTATAATAAAATTCTTGCAGCTTTCCGAATGTGCTCATGTGCTTGCTTATGCAATTAATATATTACTTTCCCCTTTACATCAAATTTTCTTGCTGTTTGTTTGTTTGTTTTTTTTTCCAGGAATATGATTTTCCTATTTGGGTTTTTGGTTTTTCCAACACATTTAGTTTTGAGAGGTAAAAGTATATTCCAGGAAGACACAAAAACCTTAGAGCTGGCCCTTTCTCCCTCTCTTTCTCCTTTTTCCCTTTACCCACTTAGGAAAGTGTGTGTAACTTTTTGCATTATGTAAATGCCTTACTTCTAATTCTTACAAAATTTTTAATGTGTGGGTTTACAGTGTAGGTATAAATGAGTTTGTAGCATTCTTAACCTTATATATACTATATATATATGTATTATATTACGTATGATATATCATTCTTCAAATGAATCAGGTAACATACTGTAAACCAGCCCCATATAACATAAAAATTTCAGTAAATCTTTTTATGCAGAGGAATTTCTAAAATTGGTTTTAGTGACACTGTGCTATCAGACAGAGGTTTTCTGCCAAGCTTTTTCATTATGAAATTATTGAGATCAAAGTGTACCATATGAGAGATGTGTGTATTCTGGGGACAGGGTACTTTATTATAGGTGTACTATTATATGTAACTGTGGAAAACAGTTAAAAAACAAACCAAAAACTAAAGCAAAATCAAACTTATAGTTTTCCTGGACCACTGAAGATCATGGACAGCATATGTAAAATCCTGTCATAGAGTGCATTTAAATCTGTTTTTTTTTCTTTCCATAAATCAGAAATCCAGAGTGGAGTCCATGCTTAGGCTGTCTATAGAAATCTTAAAAAAAAATAAAAAAAATAAAAAAATCTGGAACTTCCTTTGTTCAGAAAACTCCAGGCATTGTTGATAGTGCTTTTATAAATAGAGGTATTTGTCAAAAGAGAGTTTATTGATTTTTCTTTTGTTTTCTTTCAGATATTTTGCCCGAGTCTGAAAAACACAGAGATTTAATTGTCACTGCAGAAGTTTCACCAGACTTGGACGTGGAGTCTGTATGTACATGTATAAAAATAAATGACAGCCCTTTTCTGAGAGCCCTTTTGCTTCTATTTGCAAGCAGTGCTACCTGACATGCTTCTTTTATCTTACAAATGTGCTGTTAATGGGTAACTTGCTTTATAGCAAATGTTTAGAGACAACTTTCTAATGCTGCAGAGTTCAGTCAGGCTTTCCTCCATCTTTAACAACTAACAAATTAAGAATGTTGGGTGAGAGAATTAATATTAGAAAATAAGTCAATAACTATAGATATTACTTATGTAGCACATTAGATACATAAAATAACATGCAAAACTAGGTTATTATAGCTAACAGGCTGCCTGTTGGGTGAGTGGATGTACGTTGTATACTTCCACTTTTGAGGTTTGAAAACAGCAATTAAATGTGAGGTATTTTTGTAGTAGAATTGTGTATATCATAGCCATCGTGTTTATAAATATAATAATTCACAACGCACGTGGTATATTTCTTCATTTTTGTATAAACAGTTTTTAAGACTGTTTGCACTCATACTTGCTATTTGAGGTAATGTTGCCTTCTGCACTTGTTTCTGGCCTATTTCACAGCTTGTGATACAGCGTAAGCTTTATATCTTTTTAAATATAGCTGAAACATCTGAAATAGTGATTACTGTTTATTTGTTTATATTTGGAACTGAGCTTCTGCATAGCATCCAGTTGTCTTTCAGAAACATTTTCTTGTTAATCATTTTAACTTGAGTAATTAAAATTACACTATCTTTTAGTTAGTGACCTTTCCAATTCGATTTTGGCTAAGCAAAAGTGAAGAAAACTTTCTTAAATCTGGAATAATTTTGTATTATTGAGAACTGTTAAAGCAGTTAATTATGGGGTGGGGGGAGCAATAGTAGTGCTACCCTCAGGATCTTTGAAAGATACAGTGCACTGATTACTCGATGCATTGCAATGAGTAATCTCTGGCAGGGTGTTATTCAATATTCTGTGGTGTGGCAACCTAGCTAGAGTTTATTGATCTTATATGCAAACGTAATTTAGGAAAACCAGTTCAAATCCAAAGTTAGGAGAGTTTATATCGTCGGTTAAAGTTTTTTATGTGAGCCTTTCAGGACATGGTCATTGCACCGTAACATCTGTAACTAATCATTTCTAGCCACTGATTTCTGCAGAAACAATTTTCATGACTATCTACCGTTTTAAAAATACACAGGGAACTGCTTTTAAATACTTTTAAAAGTCTATTTGATACCTTTATTTAAAGTCTATTACTATTACTACTGCTGCTGTTGCTATTATTTGATAGAGACCTCTTTATAATATGGCCTACCACTTGCCTGTGGAAAAGATTAGCTGGTGAGAAAAAGGGACAGAGTGACATGATCTTGGCTAACTGTCATCATCTCCTGACAACACTTAAAATTGTTGGGCCTGCAAAATGCTGTAATGTTGTACAAATGAGTACAACATTACATTTGCCCAACCTTCCGGATGCAGGTGGTCTGCTTTGAATATAAGTAACTCAATATACTGAATGAACTACAACCTTTAGTCTTTATTATATCTTAGTTTCCTGAAGGGAAGAGTTTCCTGGATGTTCCTTCAGTATCCATCTAGGAAGGAAAAAATATTCTAAGACTTGTTATATGCAAGGATGAGTAAAAGCAAATATGAGAACCATTTTAGAGCTTCTGCAGGCTTGCAAATACTGTTTCTTCTCGTGTGAGGAGATATCAACTGTGATGTGTAGTAGGAGCAAAGAGTATTTAATGCCATCTCCTAAGTACAGCCTCTGATTCAGGAAGTCCCAACTTATTATGGTATGGTATTAATATGGTAAACCAGGGCAAGAATCAGTCTCTTTGCATCCATGCTATTGCTTCAGGATCAGCCACTGGTAACTGTCAGAGATGGCTTGCTTGACAAGCCAGTTGGCTAATCCAGTATGGAAGTCCCTGTGTTTCTACAATGAGGAAAAGTACACAATGCACAAATGAAAGTCCTGCTTTCAGAACCTAAAGAGAACCTTCCACCTTCCTGACTTCTTAGGAACTTTGCATGTATGAACCTTATATCCTCATGTTGAGGTGAAAAAGAGTGGATAAACCACATCAGATTTATTACCATTATTATTTTGAAAACATTGCTCCCATCATGAGAGAGTAAATTTGTGCTGGGAATGTAGTATTACAGCAGAAGTGAGGTATTTCTTTAAAACAAACTAGTTGAGACAAATAGGAAAACTTCTTGAACTGCTGACACAACCCTGTTGCAAAATTAAAGCTGTGCATAAAACAAGATATTAAAACAGACTGCAGTGCCAAGATGAATTTTGCATTAGATGAAATTACTTAGTGAAATAGAAATAAGCATGAGTAACAAAATGCCTCCCATAGTTTCTTTTGAAGTTCAAAATATATTTATGGTTATAAGATTGCATGCTGTGTGCTGTGATTTTATAGTACATGTTAAGATTTGGCCATTGGGTAGATTGGAAGTCACCTTTCCCTAATAAGTAACAGGAGGAATTTCCAAAATTTAAATAAAAATACAGAAAAAGGAAATGTGCCAAGCAAAACAGTTCAAATATTCATACATACATCATAGCGTATTAGTTCCTTATATAAACAATATTCATGAGCTATTCCTATCCTTTTTGCAGGCAATTTCCAACGGGCTTTATGTTTTCAGGAGCTCAGAAATGTATTTTGTGTATTTTAGTCTGTCATCAGAATGATAAGTCCTTTACAGTTATTTCCTTGTTTGCTGTGTTGACGATAGGAAAGTAATATTACATTTATTGTGTTGACTCATTCATGCATAATACTGAATTTCTGTTTTCATCTTTTTCTTCACAGCAAGCCATTGACAGTGAAGTAAAAGCAGAGGTAGTACCATCAGTCACAGTAAAGGTACTGTGCCTAAATCAAACCACAGTGAATAATAGTGGCAAATTTTAGAGAACTTGTAGTGTTTTCTGTGTATTTCACTTATATGATGAAAACGACTAGAATTAGAACTGCTTCTATGTACTTATTTCTCTTTTCATTCACATGACAGGTATTTATCTCGCAAGGCTTCTGTTGAAGTTAGAAGTGTTTGGAATTTGGGTAGATTTATCAAGAAGCTACCACCAAAATTAAATAAATAAATAAAAGGGTGGAGGGAAGTCGTTTTTTGAAGTAATAAGAATATTTTTCCTACATTTCTCAGAGCAGATAAGTATTTACTCAAAACATGAGGATTGTTACCTTCAGCTGCCTTTTTAGTTGTCAATAAGCAAGAAATCACTTCCTCATGTAACAACAATTCCACAAATTTGGTTAGTCCAGAAAAAGCCAGGTAAATCTAATCTGAAAATTGACATCAATGCAGTCCTCCCTGAGAACTGTTACCTCTGGTTATAAACAAAGTGTGAGAGTGTGTGTGCAAGTGTAGCTTCTTCTCAGCGCTGCATGGGGTAATTTTATTTTTTGAGTTTGAGAATCTTTTCTAGGACTTCCAGTGGAGGAAAACTGGGGCTTTGTTTTAGAGAAGTTCTGAGTGCCTTGAGTGAAAAATTTAGAGCTTAACAGAGCTAGTAATTGAAGAGAACTCCCTTACATTAATGTAGCTTAATTGTACTTAGCCCAGCATCTTTCTCTACATTTTCAAGTGACAAAATAAGGGAGGATAAAACCTTAATCCTGATCAAGTCTGTGGTTTTGCTATGAAAACTCAAGAGTTCAACCTAATTGTATTTGGCAGTTGATTAGGCTGTTTGTGAACATAGGGCTACCTTAAAACACATGATGTAAATAGATTTCAGAGAAGTATGAATTTATCAAACCAGAAATTATAGCTCCTTTAGAAAATTTTTAATGAAACTAGGTGCTTCTGACTAAATTTACAGTAAAAATGGATTTGTTTCACTTCAGACTCCTATGTGCAGCTGAAAGCCAAGCAGTATGGAGCAGGTTCTCAAACTGTAGTTGAATGCCTTGACTTGTCTGGAGGATTGGGATTTAGGTAGGAAAGATGTAGTCAGACAGAGGGTCACAGCATGAAGTATGTTGGCAACTCTCTGTGGTTTATAGCCCTTTCATGCTTCACAGAGACTGTTGAAGATCTGACTTTATAAAGTAACCCTATGAATTACACTTGGTGCTCCCTCTGGAAAATGTGTAGGTATTGCCTAAATTACATTTGAAATGACCAGTTTGGGTATAGTAGCTGCTTTAGAAAGTTGATAAATAGTCAGACAATTAGCTTGCATTGGATTTTTTGTGGTTGCAGTCAGCAAATCTGGCAGTGCCCAGCTGGTTGGCTTAGAGGTAACGCGAATGGGTTTGCACCTCTGCATTCATGGAATTACACTGTAGCTGAAACAGTTCTGAGCTGAGGGCAAGAATGGCTTTGATAACTGTATGCCCCTCTTTTGGGGCTGAAGCACAGAGCAGATAATCTCCAAAAGCAATCTGTGAAGAGCATTATTTTGCTTTTAAAGTAACACACTGAAAGTTTTGTAGCAACTTCAAATGTCACTGTCTTAATCAAAAATTTTCTGAGGCGTGCAGTCTCGTGTCTTTCTGTACTTAGTGAATTTAACATAAGACCTTTAAGTCTGTTGATTTCTTTTATGAAAGTTCTGTTTTCAGAAAATGGAGCCGTTTACCTGATGTATGTACAGAGCTCCATGTGATCCTTCCTAGTTTTATTTGCTACCATAATAAACCCTGGATGACCTGAGGGCCTGAGGCTGTAGCTCAAACTTATTGCTGTTAAGTCGAATTAGATGTTACTGTTCATTCATTTATAGTACTCCAACTTCCTAACACTTCAATTGTTTTATAACTTCAAGAGTATTTTCCTAAACTGATTTTACCTGCCTGTAATGAGTTAACAGGTAGACCAGAAATACAAAACAAATGATAATAAATAGCAGATCATATATGTACAGACCATGTTCAGATGTAGGTGACCACTGTACTTTCTGTTTTAGACCCACTAATGGGCAATCTTTTGATAACCATTTGTTCTGTAACCAGTTCTCTCTCTGAACAGTAGAAATACCCACCTTTGTAGTTAGGCTACCTCTTGTAATCTAAAGATTTAGGGGTGCTGGGCAAACTGCATGATAAGTTGTAAAATTTGTTTATACTAAAAGATTGAATAGAACGTAATTCTGAAATTATTCAGAAAACTGTTAATTGTTCTCAGTGGTTAGAGGGAATAATTTCTTAGGTTAGCTTTGCTTTCATTTATTTATTTTTTGCTTTAATTATTTAAAAGAGAATATTTTACTTTTTTTTACATTAATATAAAAGTAAATGACACTTGCAAAATGTTAACATATTTTAACTAGGAGTTTGTCATTAGATGGTCTTTGGTTAAAGTTACTAAGAATGTGAGAAATCACCTCCTTTTTTTTTTTGCTTTATTTTTAATTTTTACTTTTTAATTTTGTAAGTAAATAAAAACTGTAAAGATTGTTTCTGCAGTTGAAACTTGAAGTTCTTATTGCTGAAGTGGTCATTGCAGGGTTTTATGGTCTTTTTGCTGGTTTTGTGGTTATGTTAGTTTTCTGCTATACAGAAATCAGTTTGTTGTTTGATTTAAATAATTCTGTATTTCAATTGCTCTAGGTAACAATACAGAGCAGAGTGACTGCACAGAAACCATACCTGGCAGTATGTGTCCAAGCTCCATTAGCAGTGACCTGTGACCGGTTCACCTTTAATGATTTAGGTAAGTTATTGTAATGCTGTTAAAACTATGGTATCATATTCCTTTTTCTGAGGATGTTTGTAAGCTGTTGTTGAGCCTCCATCAAGAGAATCATTGCTGATACTGCAGTTACAAATATGTCTTATGTACACTCTGCAGCATCTTTCTTCCAGCTGTGGAAAATGACAAAGGTGTATAGGAGTGGAGTTGCTTCCATGATTACAGTATGATATGTGGCAGGTGAGCAGAGACAATTCAATGATAGAGAAGGAAAATCAGTTTATTGCCTGTTCTTTTTATGAAGGCTTTTTTTTTTTTTTTTTGTGGCAGTTCTGTCTGTGTAGAATGGCATTGGTGAGCTAAAAGCAGGGACAGAAAACTTGACCTGTTTGCTAGCCTAACAACCTAACACGTTAGAACTTAATAACTTGTGATTCTCTCAATATCCATATCTTTCAAAAAATAAGATTGCAGGCGGGATTTCTTTGAAGATTGTGAATGGAGCTGAGGAACAGAGAAGTGTTTCCTGCTGCCTCAGTTGGGACCAGTTTTGGATTGAAATGTGCATTACTTGTTCCTACTGAAAGAGGGCTTTACTGACTTGCTGTTCTAATCTGAAAGTATAGTTCTTATTTTTCCTAAACGTGTGACAAGAACAAAGGGCTGATTGCTTTGTAGGATATTAAAATTGCCATACAACATTTGCTTTGGAGTTTTCTGACTAGATTGTAGTTTGTTGAGGGATAAAGGTAAATGAATGGAAACAACTATCCTAACTTCACAAAGTTTTTCCTGGAAGTTTCCTGGAAATGGAAATTGTATTGCTTTCATGTGGATGCTCCTATTATTTGATTTAATTTTTTGTTTGTTTGTTTTTGTAGATCCAGGATCATCTGAAACTGTGGTCCTATCTGTCTTCTTGAAGGGAAATTTTCCTCCATCAGAACTAGAAGGAAATTGTGTGTTGTCATGTAATACACCAACCGGTAAGCCTTTGAAAATTACAAATTTATTTTTTTAGTGTCTTTTCTTTATATGTCTTTCTGAGCTTTGTTTTGAGCTTTGTTTTGAAAAACTTTAAAGGCAGGTAGTAATGGAAGAAATAATTATATAGCAGATGGCTCTGCTAGCAGTCAACAAGACCTAGACAGACTGGTGAGTTGGGCATAGAGGAACCTTATGAGCTTCAAAGAGAGGATGTATAGGGCACTGCACCTGCGAAGGAATAACCACATGCATCAGTACAGTAGGGGCTGACCTGCTGGAATGGAAAAGGAGCTCTGCAGAAGGACTTCAGGAGTTCCAGCGAACATGAACCAGCACTGTGCCCCTGTGGCCAAAATATCCAGTGCTGTACTGGGGTGCATTAAAAGGACTGTGGCCATCAGGTCAAATAAGGAGATCTCCCCCTCTCCTCTGCTCTGGTGAAGCCACATCTGGAATATTCTGTCCAGTTCTGGGCCCCTGAGTTCAAGAAAGACAGGGAACTCCTAGAGAGAATCCAGTGAAGGGCCACATGATATTTAGGGGCCCAGAGCATCTCCCATAGGAGGAGAAGCTGAGATATCTGGGACTGTTTAGCCTGGAGAAGACTAAGTGGGGGGGGTCTCATCACTGTTCAGTAATATCAGAAGTGTGGGAGTCAAGTGGATGGGGCCAAGCTCTTTTCAGTGGTGCGCAGCAACAGGGCAAAGGACAGTAGGTACAAACTGGAGCACAGGAGGTTCCATACAAACACAAGGAAGAAATATTTTCTTTAGGGGGTGGCAGAGTACTAGAACAGGCAGCTCAGAGAGGATGTAGAGTCTCCTCTAGAGATGTTGAAGACCTGCCTGGATGTTTTCCTGTGTGACCTGCTGTAGAGAACCTGCCTTAACAGAAGGTTGCACTTGATCTCCAGAGGTTCATTCCAAAACCTGCAATTTTGTGGTTCTGTGTAATAATGTATATCGAAATCTTGTCTTGCTTCTTTTATTTATTTTTTTTTTGTAGCATCATCAAGTTATGTAAACAATAGAATCATAAGCTTATGGCTTGGGAAGCAGCTGTACCAGCTTTCCCTCTGCCGATCAATTTGCTTCTGTTCTGCTCTTTAAGGGACCACCTCTTGGAGTGAGAAGTTAATTGCATCTTTATGACTATTCAGCCTTCTGGGGCTGCCAGCAAACGTGACAATAACTGCCTCCCTACAGAGGAAGAAAATAAGCATTGGGAGTGATTATTCCTCACTTCCCTTTTAACAACAGCTTAACGTATTCATTCTAAACAAATAAAGTGACCCGAAAGAATAGAAATTAAGTCATTCTATTTTATAATGCCCTAGTGACTCTAATATTAGAATATGTAAATTTGCCCTGCTATCCATAACTGAAGACTAGTTTACTTAGTTTTCTACACACAGCCTCAGGAATATGTTAGGCTACGTGAAAAACTCTATTTATGTAGGGTCGTGTATTATGTAAGTTCGGTTAAGTGCAGCATAGCCCAGTTGAAGCAATCTGTTCTTTCTTCACTTCTCACTGCTTGGCTTTGCACCCACACCTCCTCCCTTGTTGTGCTCATACAATCAGAAGTTATTACTCAGCCAGATTTGCTGATTTGGCTCCTTGCGTGCACGCAGAGCTGTGCCAGCACTAAGGGGACAGTAATACAGAGTGAGCTAGCATCAAAGAAATGCTCATTATCATGTGTATGTTCTTTTATTTAAGCATCACTTCTCACTTGAAACATGATATTTATGATAATAGTCTACGTTGTGTGTCAACTATTAAAATATTTATGTACTTCTAGACAAAATTGGAGCTCGTGTTTTTTTTTAAGAACTTGATCTTGCCCTTATTAGATTAGGCTTGAAGGTATGGGTAGAGGATGGGAGGAAAAGGATATTCCTCCCTTTTTCTTAAGAGCCTCCACAAATGGCTTGTACTACTTCAGTCCTCCTGTTTTGTGACTCTCAGTCTGCTTATGCCTTGTGAATGACTTGCTGTAACTTCATAAGTGTCCAATTGAAAGTGATATAGCTTTAGACAGCTATGACTTTATAGATAGTATTCTCTTGAGCATCTTGGATCCTCTGATTCTGAAAGCATGCTTTGTGTTTTGCTGGTTTTGTCTCTGATTTTGCTTTCCAAGATGAGAATATCAAATTTAAGTGTTTTTTCTTATTGCCAGATGGATGTGTTATTATTTAATTCAGATCACCTTAGTTACACCTCTTGTATTTTAGTTATTAGGTTGAATTTAGCAGGTAGGAAGGTAAAGAAACTTTCTATCTTGAATATGTTTGATTGCTTATATACAATAAAAAAATCCCCAGAAAACATGATATCTAACAAAATCAGTGAAGAAAATTAGTAGTAATACAAAAAAAAATTAGAATTTACAAAACCTCTAAATAAAAGAGCATAAATATTAAGATGTTACTAAAATTTTGGATATTCATTTAAATTATTACGCTGAAATTTTTCTGTTCAATTACATAAAAAAGCGGAGTTTATTCTGCTTGCACAAGGCAAATAAATCCTTAAGTAATATACTAATACACAAAAATTGAGTGCCTTTGTGACTTTATTTTATCTGAATACAGACTTCCTTCTTTTTTAACACTTCACATTTGTGGCCAAATCAGTCTTCAGTGCATCTCTGTGGGATTCATACAGCTGAATGTTAATATGAGTCACGGAGTTGGATTGAATTGTGCTATTGATGAATGTGGTTTCACGTCTGTTTTCTTTTGGCTCATACTAGGTTTTTATGCATTGTCTACTTAACAGTCACTTCTTTTAAACCTGTTACTACATTTTCTTTTCTTTCTTCTTAAAGTAGCATCTTATGTTTTTATCCTTTTTTCCCTTTTGTGCTATTGCTGGTTATACGGTAGAGCTCAATCCTGAAGGTAAGTGAATGGAAAAATCAGATGTGAATGTCTCATGAGTGAGCATATACTGAATAAAGCAGATCTGGAAGTGATCTATTACATCACCTATTAATTCTTTAAGCTTTTCTACTTGCCTTAGATAGGTGGTGCTACAGAAGTGTGAATATCTGAGAAATTTGAAAGTAAATGAGGCTTAGAAATAAGAAAAAAAATATTCACGGCAAAACAGAAACTTGTAAAGACATTTGCTGAAGTATGTCACACCTTAACATAGATAGCATATAGAAATTTTACAATATACTAAATACCTTGTGCATTGAGATGGAAAACACAATCGTATGCTCCTTCGTTATTGTATTTCTAGCTATCTATTCAACCTTCACTAAGAACTCATTGAGTAGCAAAATCACAGCTGTTTATTTTTTTTTTGTGCAACTGAAACAGCCATTAAGGTTTTGTAGCTAACTCTATGCTGTTTGGACAGAATAGCTCTGTGAGTGATGTCACTAACATCCATTCATTCCAGTTCCTTTTAGAAATCTCTTTTTCAAGACTACCAGGCAACTTTTCAACTGGCACAAGTACAAAACTTAACTGTCAGTGTGGCAGATATGGTATTTACAAAAGATTCTGATAAGGACGTGAAGGGTACTTTACATATAAATGGGCTAAAAAAGAGGGAAAAGATGCAGTGTAGTTGTGTGCATGTATTGGGTAGGTAAGGTTGCTTACTATCTTAAAAAAGCACACACATTAAACACAAATTCACCTGTTTTTGAGGGAAAATAAAGTTGCTTGTCGTGGATTTAGAGTCTTCAGTTTGCAGTTTTGTCCTAAAAATAAGTATGCTAAGATGTGTATGTGTTTAAATTTTGTCTTTCAATGCTGATGTTCCAATGAGCGTATCAAGAGAAGTGGAAAGGTAGATAACTGTTAACAGTTCTCTTCCTCTTCTGGTTTCTTCCTCTTCTGGTTTCTGCTTATTTCAGAGGTTCTACCAGAAATAGGTTCTTAAACCATCTCAGTAAAGTGGGTTTTGTTTGTTTTATTTGAAAAATAGCTATATCTCTAAGGCAGGCTTTTCCTCTCTTAAGTAATTAAAAAAAAAAAAAAACTATATAAAAAAAATAAAGTGAATAAAAATATTTCAAATGTGTGTGTAATTCCAAAGGGTGACTTGCTTAAACTGAAGATTCTCTCTGTTAAGAAATTTGTTCTCCATATGAAAACTTGCTGATGCTGAAGAGAATACTGTGGAGCACAGTGAATCTCCCTGGAAAAATTTAGTTTATTGTGAGGTGCACTGGACTGCTTAAATTAAATTCATCAGTACCAGAGAAGGCATGGATTTTCTGCATTTTTAACATTCTACATTAGAGATCTGGACTTGAATTCTTTTTACTATGTGCATCAGATGTTCTGTTGTTGACATGATTAGAATTGGATAAAGACGTTGTTTGAAATTGTAACTATGGTGTTATGTAACTGTTTTGATAGACTGTAAGTGCATAGTATGAATTAATTCAAATAATACTTTTGTTGTGAGGTAACTTTTTATAAAATTTCTGTTGTTTTGCAGTTTTACTTCTGTATATGGCAGTGGGAATCTGACAAAAAATATATATATATATTTGCAAGTTTTTTCTTTTTTGTTAATACAGTACTAGAATTGTATATCATTAAATGCATCCCAACTCTGAATGAAGTGAAATCCATCACTAGAGAAAATATCAAACAACTGAGCAAGTTCTGTTTTCCATGCATTGTTGCCATTTTGATTATTCTTACTGCCACTTAAAATTACTCTAGCAGACCTAACAAGTATTGTATTTCAATTGAATACTTCAATAAGGACTGTGGTGATAAATTTTGCTGCAGCGTTTTGGTTTGGTTTCTTATGTATATGGTTGTTATGGCTGATATAGACTTATCAACTAGAAAACTCCATAGCTAAATACTATTTGATTTAGTTTTCATCTGAAATCTCTCTGCATTATAGAAATTTTCTCAGTAGTTCAGATAGGCAGACTTCTAGCAGGCTATCTAGGAGAAGCTACATTGAAATAAGAAGAACATAATCTATTAAAATACAAAACTATTTCAAAATCCTTTTGGCTAGTTTCCTGTTGTTTCCAATTTTTCCTGTTGACGATACTCCCTAAGTTTAATAGTAAGATGTTTCTAAGATGTTTATGTAATGTTTTCATCAAGAAAATATTTTAATTATTTTTTCCATCTGACTGTGAAGATATGATTTGAATGAATCATTCTGAAAGGTCATGGATTTATTTTCAGGAATTTTCCTTGGAACCTTGGGTTATTCTAATTTTGGGACCTCTGAGTTTTCTGCTGTTTCTACACTGATTTTTTTTTTTTTTGAAGAAGTTCCTGCTGAATAGCTACTTGGAGGCATCATTAGCCAACCAAAAGAGCTAATGAACTACAAACTGACAACCAGCAGGGTGAATCTCAGCTTTCTAGTAACAACCCCTCTTCCTCCAAGACGGGTCCTTGCAGTAATTTTTCTTCACAAGAGATCTGTGAAGTAGCAAACAAACAAAATGTTAGCAAAAAGTGTTACTGTAGGTGTTGGTTGAACAGCTGAGCTATGTTTATTTATTAGACTTCTCAGCTTATGTGACTGACAGCCTGTGTAGGTTTTAGTTTCATGACTCTGTTCTGGTATGATCCATGACAGTAAATTAATATACTGTTGTTAAACATGTTCTTTGTTGAATTCTGTTGGAGTGAGTATCTGAATTTCATATTTTTAGGAAATGATGAGTGATTGTCATTATGATGTTAATGCTATTCTCAGGAAGGTCTCTATAATGATAACTGTACCTGAACAAAACGATGCTAATTGGCTGCTTCATCAAAGAAGTCCCACTTAAAAAAAGCCATACAGACTGGCTGTCCAGAAGAGCAAGCAGTCTGTATTTCATGGCCCCCAGCATTTTCATCGTTCACATAGAACATACTGTGTATCATCTGACGTGCCAACCATTTAAAATAATGCTTAGATCTGTGCAAATCTCACTCATTCTAGTGAATATGTTTTTGTTAGAGTGAAAACGTCCTCTTTTCTCTTGCACCATTCTGATAAAACTACATGTTCTATGAGTTGAATGATAACATTTGATTTACTGTAATGAATAAAAACTCAATATTTAAGCAAGTAGGGACTAAACAGATTGCTTAGGAGCATTAGTCATTAAATCCAGATCTATTATTTTGTAGTCGAGTCTCATCTGAGAAAGAGGTACAATATAGCAATTCTGGGATTTTACACTGATGCCATGAAGGCTGTTAAATAAGGGACTTCCCTTAATATGCTTTTGTTATTATTGATACTATTATTGAAGTATATTATTATCAAAATGGTCATAAGTGAATATTCTGATTAAAAAAAAATAATAGAAAAGAATAACAACAAAATTGGAAGTTATATAAAAAAATATTTGGAGGCATTGATTTAAATTAGAAAATGTGAGGAGGTACACAGACATAGGCAATTGAGATTTCTAATTCTGGTTTGCAGGTCATTAATTAGTTTTGTCCATAGTTTGGGTAGGGATTTTTAAGTTACATGCTTGCACCCCTGTCTTGTTTGTCAGAAAGAGAGTGTCATATGCAAACAGCTTATGATGCTTCTTGGTGAAGAATGGGTGCAGTTTTTGTATAAAAATAACAAAAAAATAGGACTGTTTGTTCTTATAGGGGAGGTAGTTTATGAGTGTTCCTGATGAAAACACATATTTCAAGGCATCAGGGACAATCGTGCAGTTGTCTCATGTCCTGAAATGGAATTGTTTGTTTAAAGAGTTAAATAAACTGTCACCAATCATTACTGCATGTTAACTGGTGTGAATGCAGGTATGCAATGGAATTGGGTAATAATGTTTGCCTCCCATTTACTTATAAATACCCACTTCAAAAGGTGAATAAGGTTTTCAAGTTGAAAGTTGTTGTACATGGAGTGTTAATTAAAAAAAAATGTAGATTTTGTTACAGGATATTCTTTAATTGCATTATAAATACCTTGCAATTCCTTCCAGGACAGCAGCATAAATATCTTTTATTCAGAATATGGATATGAAAGATGATTCTGTGTGTTCTTTCACTTTAGGGATACCGAAATTTGCCCAGTGTAAATTCAAGCTGCCGTTGCGATTAGTTTGCTTTCCAGCTCAACCTTCAAAATCAGCAAACCACAAGCTAACTATTGATACCAATAAACCTCCCATCAGTTTTCTCACCATTTTTCCAGGTAGGTTTTAAAATATGCCTCTGACAGGAGATGTTTCTAATGGAAACTCAGACAGGAAATGTTTGCAAGAAGTATGAAATAGTTAACAAAACTAATGCCAGGATGTTTAAAATGTACATCTTGAAAAAAATGATGGAATAATGTTTCGAAGTAGATAATCAACCTGTCTAGTATATCTGACTTTGATTAAAACCTGAAGATTTTTGTATGTGGGGATCTACTTTTTATGTATCCAGAAAATAATTTGATTCAAAATGCAACAGTGGTGTTTTAATGGAGAGAATGTGGGCATTCATTTTTTTGGGGGGGGTTATGTGCGTGGTCATGAGATGTGAAGAAGAAACAGGGCAGAGCAAAGTCATAAATTAGTACAGTTGCTTTGGAGAAAGATTTGTGAAAGTCTTGAGGTGAATTATGTGTAATATTTGCAAGAGTAATATAGTAATAGAGGGAATTAGGTGATATTTAGGGCTAGTAAAATATGAATTAAGTATTATTAAAAAATATTCTGCTGTAGTTATGTGCTCCTTGATTTGGAAGAGATAGAAAAGGTGGAAGTTATCATAGGAATACTCCATGGTATAATATTGTATGGGCATAAGTGAACCAGTAAGAAGTTAGGATGGATGAGACAAAATGGTTCCAGGATGGAAACAAATAAGTTACTGTGCACCAGCACACAGTATTGGATTCTGGTTGCTGATACTGAAAGTGAATTAAAACTCAAAAGTGTAGAGAAGGCTATGAGAATTGCCTGGGGATTTGAGGAGGAGAATTAATAGAGAATTACTCATTTAGATGAATAAAACACTGGCAAA